GAGGAGGCTTCTGGTCAGGCCAGGGGCATCTTAGCCTGCCAGAGAGAAAAGGTGGTGGTGCTAACACCATAAGCCTGGGCATACTTTGCATTTCAAAACAGAGAATAGTCTTGTTAGGTATAAAGTAGAAATGGTTGCTCCTTAGTAAGAGAAAATGTGGGGGGGGGGGAGAAAGGGAGAGAGGGAGGAAACAAATAGAGACAGCAAAATGGATGGAGGCAGAGACACACAGAGAGGTATAAAGAGGCACCCCACAAACCCTGGGGAAATGTTGTCAAGGGTGGCTTCAGTGCCTGGAAAGACGTGAAGCCTAGTTTGCCCGGCTGACCTAGGGAAGGCTGCACACTGGCTTCCTCTCTCTTCTGCAACAGGCAGCAAAGCCCAGGCTGGGTTATTACCTCAGCGACTTTTCCCTCTCAGCCTCAAGGGACACTGTCCAGGCTGGAAAGCAGCAGATGCCTTTTCCAACACAAATAAACCATGATCTCAGGTAGCAACGCTGATGTTAGAAAATGGGGAGTGAAGTCTGATGGGTTTCACTCAGACCAAAAGCCTGAAAGGAATCTGCTTCTTTCAAGAGCCAGGCCCTGCCCCCCACCCCCACCCAGGCTTTAGGGCTGCAGGCCAGTCTGCGAGATTGCCAGCTGCAGAGATGTCCCCTGAAATACAGGTTTGGTGACTCTGACCGTGAATGCACTAATTCACAGGAGCATTGCTGTCCCTTTTCCACCCTTTGCCTCTCTGCAATACTTGCTGGGAAGCAGGAGCACCCAGACAGGAGATCGTGCTGTAAGAAGCAAAGGAGACATTTCCCTGCAGAAGCCAAGTGCTCCCACATGGCATTCATGGAGACACAGCCACACTCTTTTTTTTTTTCAAATAAACTTCCAGAAAAGAGAGTAAACACAGGGGTTACAGGCATATTAGCATGGATGCTTTTGTGTCACTGTCATATTGAAAGCCAAGGTGTATTCTGGCAGCTACCTTGAAGTCCTCAGGAGAAAAATTTGATGGTTCACTAAGCACGAGTGTGAAGGGAGGGGCCCAAATATATAGGACACTGAGGTGCCATTGTGTTCCTGCAGCCTTTAGGAGCCCTGCTACAGAGTCCAGGTAGGGGTGGACACACCCCAGTCTCCTTGCTTATGCCCTGAGGGAGTCAGAGGCTCAGTTGTTTCAATGACAAGGTCCCTTTTCTTGTAGGTGGGTCTCGCTCCCTGGTGGTCCTGTTTACGCCTTGTCACCAGAAATATACCTTTATTCCACTCTTACTTGTTCTCCAACACCCTCTCACTCTGTTAGGGTCTGTAAACAAGTCAAGATGGCGCCTGGCAAAATGCCAGAGGGAGTGGTTTGTGAAGTAACGCCAGCGAGCCATTTAGTGTGGAGATTCCTTATTGGTTGACTGCTATATCTAGTTTATGTTAATTAGATAAGCTGTGTGGAATGTATATATACCCCTCTTGTCCTACAATAAACGGCTCCCACTCCTGCTGTATCAATGTACACAAGTTCCTCGTCATCCCCCGGTTACAGCCGGACTGCGGCATCACTCATCCAGTCTGAAAATGGCTTATCAAAATATTAATAACCAGATGAAAAACAAGGAAAAAGAAGCCCTTTTCCCATAGAGAGATAATATAGATTTGGGAACTGGATGTATTTCTATCATCCTGTTAAAACCATTTCCCTTCACCCCCAGGGGTGCTCTGCAGAACCTTGCCTGTTCCCGGGGCTGAGTGTTCCTGGGGCAGAGCCGGGTGAAGAACACACAAGCTGAGCACTGTCTGTCTGGGTTTGGGTCCCAGTTTGATTTTCTTTCAGCCTTTCTTCTAACCTTGGGCAAAAATTTCAAAACTCTGTGTTTCAGTTTTTTCATCTTCAAGACAGGTAGTTATACTACCACCTGAGAGGCATCCCATGAGGATTAAACCTTCCGTAAGTGTTAGCTGTGAATCTAACCTCCTCACAGGAAGACTGGATTTTACATTTCTTCTTAGGAAATGTATACAGTGAGTGATGGGCTTGTGGAAATGCAAACTTTCTTACTTGAGATGAGGGTTTGTGCATCTATCCACAAGGATCATATGTTCTCATGTGCCCGGACATTTCCAGATTAGCCAGTTTGTTTTCTTGGTAGAATTATTAATAGTACTTGCTTTCATGTGTGAAACTATGCTGGCTTGGGTGATATATTACATATTTGCCTACCAGTGTAGGACTGTGACTGAGAAGTGGCTCATAGCAAGCCTCTCACCCATCATCTGTGAGCTGTACCCAGGGACAACTCTAGAAGCCAAAGGAGCATGGAGAGATTAAGTCCCCCAGAAGAGGTGGTGATGGCTAGAGAACTGACCTTACCAAACTCTGGTCTCACAATCATGCAATACACAGAACATACAGTAGCAGAGGATTGTGGCAGAAACATTTGGCCATGTAGCCATATGCACCTTGACACTTCTCAAACTACTTGCTGATTAGTTAGGTATATAACCTAACTATTTGCCTAATTTGGGCCAACAGCAGTAAATGGAAGTGAATTACCACTCTGGAACAAGGCAAGAGCGGCTGCTCCCTGCCTTCCTTTCTTCCAGTTGCTGGGAGAACCTTATGTTGTAGCAGCAATGGAACCTGGGTTACCAAGCCAGCACTTGGAGGGAAGCCCTTGCCAGCTGGCATCACACTTTTAAGAGAGAAGGAAATGCTATTGGACTTTTGTTATTGCAGCCCAACTTATTCTTTCCTAATATCGAAATGAACACTTGATATGAAAAGATTACATAAAAGGCCTATGCACTCTTTTAGGGCATAAAAATGCAGTGATCTCTTTTTGGTTTTTCTCTGACCAAGCCATTTAATTTTGCAGTGTTTTGATCAATTCAAGGTGGTGCCAGATCCAAAGGTTCACCTGCTTTTTCTGCAGGATCTGCCAACATAACTTAAATCCCCAAAGAAGTCACTTATTATGTGCCAGAGGTATGGACTGTGACTGAATAATGACTTTAGATTCTTGTCATCTTAGAATGAAAAGCAGGATTCCAAATTTCCTGCCTTATGAGTCCAGCTAAAGGCTTGAATTTCTCCTGAAGACCAAAGTTTCTCAAAATAAGGGTTAAAATTTATTTATGGGTCATGAACCCAGTTATAAAGGAATTTTAAAAATTATTAAAAGAATTTTAAAAATTATTAAAAGAATTTTAGAAAATTAAGTAGACTTGGGCTGAGGATGTAGATCAGTTGGTAAAGTGCTTGCCTTGCATGCACAAAGCCCTGGGTTCAATCCTCAGCACTACAAAAAAATAAAAATAGAAAAATTAAGTTGACAAGAAAAAAATCTGAATGCATTATATATGGTGAGGATGGTATTGTGTAAAACCTGTTTTCTTGGGTACATTGTGCTTCAGGATACTGCCTATTTTTTACTATGCATCACAGTGAAAATATCAGTAGTCCCTGCCGTACAACATAATTCAGCAATGACCCTCATTTTCTTACAGAAGCTGTCATTTCTGCTTGCAGAGGACTGATGAAAGAAATCACCAGGGAGAGCAGACTGTCCTATGCAAGTACTTCCGGGAGGCTACCTGGAAACTAGTAGAAAACCAATTTGTGGATGATTGCATGACCTGGGGATAGAAATCCATCAGGGGCAGTTTTAGGGATGGCAGCGGCTCAGCCCACTGCACCTCTCACCTGGGATGGAATTGGGTTCTCTGGAGCTGGCTCTATGGCTCTGGCTGCAGATGCATTCCTTTTCCCTGAAATGGAAGTAACCATGCCCTTGAATACTGCTGTTTTGGAAATATTTGAATTAAAAAAAAAAAGAAATTCTGTCCAATAAAGGATGAACCACAATGTTCCAGCAAGCAATGGCCTTTGATGGTGGCTTGATGAGTATGCTTTTACTGGCATCGGTGGAGAAATAGAAAGGCCCACACCCTCGGCATCAGAAGAGGTATATGTAGGGGCAGCTTTAAGGCAAGGGGCCTTTTTCTTCCATTTCTTGACAGGTCACTGGACTCCTGGTCCCTAGGCACAAGGGTGGCAGACTCTCCCTGGGGCTGTTGATTTTGGAGCAGTTCCAATACCCTCCTAGTGGGAAAGGAAGGAAGAGAAAGGAGGCGAGGTGCCTCTGAAGGGGAATTCAGAGGGTGGGAAGAAAGGAAGTTATATGAAGAACATTGCTACAGGATCTGGTGTTAAAGACTCTGGTAAGTAAAATGCCCCAGATTCAAAGTGTGCACTTAAAACCCCTCCAGTTTTTCAGAGAAGCCCTGGCCGTTCTGCCACTTCCCCCTTTAAAGCTCTTACCAAGGTAAGGAATGAAAACAATTGCTAATGCAAAGACGGAATTAAAAAATAAATATACTTAAATCTGCACAGGGCTTTAGTCCTATCGGAGGCCTCTGTGCCTCTCCCTGTGATTTTCTTTGGTGTTAACACACTTTGAGAGGCTGTGGAATGTGGGCCAGGGAGAGGAGGGCCCCTCGCTGGGCCCCCCAATCCTGCCTGCTGACCACCCAGAGTGCTACAGGGCTCCTGTTCTGTCCAGGACTCTGAATCTGCCACAGCTGGGCCCTGGGGGTGGAGAGTTTTCACCAGGAGGCCTGTGACATCTGTTCTGTGCTCTGCGACAGACCACAGAGAAGATAACGGCTAATCAGACCTTCACATGCATCATAGAGGCCTTTTCTGGACTGAGAAAAAAGAACGAGGAAAAGCAAAACAAGACAAAAATATATTCATTAGAAAAGAAGAATGAAAGTCAAATGTGTGGAAGATGCAAGGTCGCTGGAGCCCTTCAGGGCTTCATTCAGGCAAAGGACTTTGAGGGTCTGGCCAAGGACCTGCTGGGTAATCCCACATCTGGTTCCTGGTCCACAGATTCCCTGTGCCTTTTCCAGTAGCATCACCGAGTTCTCCCACCTGCCCCAACCCCCCTCAAGCTATTCTGCTATTTTCCCCCCTTGGCTTTTGTCCCTGCAAACCCACACATGGCATAAGGTTGAATGAAGACATTTATTTGTAAAACCATTTCCCGACAGAGGAGAGATTGCATCGGTAGAAAGTAAACCAGCGGTCATTCAGAGGGCCACATGCACACATTAGTGAAACCAAGGGGGACCAGACAGACAGCAATGCTGCAGACGACCCGCGTGGCTACCAATCCCGCCAACAGAAAAGCAGAATGTCCTTTCCGCTGGAGGACACGGATTCACCGAGATGTTCTGTGAGAAGGCAGTTTGGTCTGACTTCCAGGCGGAAGTGGTCAGGGAACCAGTGGCGAAGCCTCTTCTCTATTCCACGTGGCCTGTTGGCTTCCCACAGATACCCGCCAAAGGCCTCCGTGGTCCTCCACCCTCCAGCGGGAGGGCGCAGCATCAGATGCCCCGGCCTCCTCACATGCCCATCCTTATGCTCTGAATGATTTGAAAGATGGCTGAAAGAGGAAACCAAAACAGATGGCCCAGTCACCAGAGAGCACACGGCCAGAAACCCAACCCACAGCGCACCCTGATTCTGCTGACCCCAGGGCCCTGGACGGGTTGGCTCACAGCTGATTAGATATTTCCTAACAAGGAGTTAAGTTAACAAGGGGTCAGTGAACTTCTTTCAAAAGGCAGCCTGGCTCTGTCTGCTGATGGATGCCTCTGGGATTTATAGATAACTCCTGCTAATTCCACCAGGAGCTAAGGCCAGAAACCCCTCAGGCGGGGAGAGGAGAATTGGCCCCTTCCCCAGCAATATTCTGCTGCTGGGCTTTGGAGCAGAAACTGCACTCATTAAACAGGTCAGTGAGTCTGCCTTTTCAAAATGGCCGTGACCTGTAAAATAACCAGCTCTGCAAAGGGAAGGAAGGCCAGGTGCTCCGAGCAGGCGCACAGCTGGGTCTCCGCTGCCCAAGCCTGTGCATCTCCTGGCTGCAGACCTAAAGGCGCTCTCACCCAGGGCAACGCTGACTCGGGCTACACTACATCTTTACCAGCTGGGGTGGTTGGGGGGGGGGGGCTGGAACCCACCGAGAACTTCTGGATCCTTTGCTTGTTAGGGGAGAACCAGATAGAAAGCTCCCAGCCTGGTTCTAGCTACTGGGTTTCAAATGAGAGAAAATCCCAATTTCTCTTTTAAATCTTCCCTAGTGTTCGACAGTGGTCAAGCTTGCTGCAGACTATGATAATGATGATAAGAACAACTACCCTGTAGTTAAATGTTGTTGTTATTATTATCTATAAGGAGGCTGGGTGTCATCTCACTTAATTACGTGTAAAAACAGAATAAACACTGAGCTCTCAGGGGTCTTACCACTCCTCTGTTTCAAAAAGTCATCCTGGAATATATCCAGGGACATAGCTTCTAAGTAACCACAGTGAAACAGGGCTTCCCAACCCTCGGGAAACGGCATTTGGTAGTTTGTCGCCTTACGATAGTGAGCACCTGGCTAATGTGTAGAAATTTGGATTTTGTAATTTTTGCATATTATAATAAGATACTACTTATGTTTCCTATAAGCTTTATTCATACATATAGCCTGAAGATAAGTTTACAGAATATTTTAAATAATTTTATGCATGAAACTAAGCTTCATGGTGTTGAATTTTCCACTTGTGGCCTCATGTCAATGCTCAGAAAGTTCTAGATTTTGCATTTTTGGATTAGGAATGCTCAACCTGTAATAAGTGCTGAGAATTGGGGTTGGGGAATACAAAGAAAAATACAAGAAAAATACAGACTCCTGGTCTTTCTTGGACAGCTTGATTTCAAGGGTAGACAAAGCTCTAATGCATTTTTTTTTTTTTGGCCATTTCTCATTTTCTAAAAGAAACACTGCATACATTACCACTGCCTTCCTAAACTGGAGATACCAGCCAGGGAATAGTGTTAACTTTTCATGAAAATTCAGTTTCGCCATAATCAAAACAATTGATAATATTCTGTTGTGATATTATTTTGGAGGACACACAGTGTTTGATATCCAAATAACTCTGGATGGCAGTACTTCTGGGCTCTGGTTTCTATTATCATATTTTTTTGTCTCTTTGTTCTTATCTCTGGTCACATCTCTGGTGTTACAACACTCCTCTGCAGTGGGCCTGCTTCTGTTATTTCATTGCTGCAGACTAAGCTTACACCAAGGCCATTAGAATTAATGTGTAAAATTGAAATGACAGTTCCGTGTGGGCTGAGGGACTCTTCTGTAGATAAGGCGAATGAGTTGGTTCAATGACTTGTGATATTTAATTCTAGCTGTGCTCAGATGTTTTCTTGGCTAAGTTTGTGTTCCTGAGTGGGTCTTGACAGGGGTAGCTGCTAGATGCACGAGAAAGTAGCCTACCAAAATTTGCAAGCTTGCAGAAATATCTGATGGTTCTGTTCTCTACCGAGGCTGACGAGCAGCAAAGATTAAATAAGCGTCTGTATTCTGGTTCAGTGGGAATGCCAGGAAGCAGTTTTGTACATTCAAAACATCAGGAAAAAAAAATACATCTGCCATCCCTCAGACTTTGTTCTTGGGGTCAGGGAACTATCCTAATCTCAATAAAGAAAAGATGACTTGAGAGAGGAATGTAAGGGTCAGATGGAAGAGCTACTACTGAAGAGCTGGTGATTGGACAAATAATTTAACCTCTTTGAGGTTGTTTCCTCTTCTGTGACACTAGGATCATGGTCCTTGCAGGACTACCATAGGGATTAGGCAATATGACATATATGGAGGTTCCTTACACACTAAAGATTCAATGCATGGCCAGAGCTCTTGCTATTATTACCACAGGCTGAGCATCCCTTATCCAAAATGCTTGGGACCAGAAGTATTTCAGATTTCAGACTTTTTAAAACTTTGGAGTATTTGCATATCTATAATGAGATATAGTGGGGATGGAACCCAAAGTCTAAACATGAAATTCATTTATGTTTCACATTCACCATACACACAGGCTGAAGGTCATTTTGTACAATATTTTTGGTGCACCTGCGACCACTCATAACATGAGGTAAAGTGTAAAATTTTCTACTTGACACTCAAAAGGTTTCAGATCTTGGAGCATTTTGGATGTTGAATTTTTGGTTTAGAGATACTTGACCATGTGTAAACAGGAAGACCAGCTTTTTTTTTTTTTTTTTTTTAGTTGTAGATGGACATAATACCTTTATTTTGTTTTTATTTTTATGTGGTACCGGGGATCAACCCAAAACCTCACGCATGCTTGGCAAGTGCTCTACCACTGAGCCATAACCCTGGCCCCTGAAGACCAGCTCTTAATTGTCTGCCACTGTATAAAGTGTGAGCCTTAGGGAATTACCACAGTTCTCAGCCCTGTGTTCTCTGTTTATAAAACTGTGGAAAGTAAGTACCCCAAGGAATAAATATGATGACACAGGTATGTGGTCTGTTCATGCCAGATGCTCAAAAATGTTACCTCTCCCTTAATTTTGTCCTTAGACAAGAAATGGGCTGTAGGTTAAATAGGAACCAGCCTGTGTCTAAATCCATCATACTCCACATTGTTCATTCAAGACGTCAGAAGTTCTAGGTAATGATAAAGCCACTCAATTCTCTTTAAGGAACTGCTGCAAATCTTTCTAAAGAATCTTAGAGAAAATGTGCAAGTCTCACAGTAGTGAGATGTCCATTAAAACAACTTCCCTACCTCTTTGAGTCTGCTTTAAAAATTAAAGATAATTTCTGATTCTAATTGAATCCATAATGAGCATGTAAAAATCCAGTGGTTTTTTAATGTATTTATAGGTGACTCTTTAAAACTTACCCCTTTTGGAGAAATTGCTTTGAATGAACTCTACTTTAAGTTCACACCTAAGACAATGGACAGATGGTGGGCTTATTGTTCCTTTTTCCATTGTATCAATGTCTTGAAGAAGCTTTCCTCATTTTATACCAATTAATTAATTGTAATTTTGTGTGCCTGTCAATACTGACCTGCAGAGCAACCCTGGCCTTCTAAATGCTGACTTTCCGAGGCAGTGAAGGTTCAGGAAGGGAGCCAACAGGGAGTTCAAAGAGGGAAAGGAAGCCTGACAAGTTAATAACTTAACAGTGGGTGAACAAGCTGAGAAAACAGTGGAGCAGGCTGCAGGAGAGGGGCTGAGGGCGGCAGGACAGGAGGCAGGAGAGAAGCCAAGGAAGGGAGGGACTGCAGGCATTCCAGGCCAGGGGACCAAGCCCTGGGCAGGCCACACCCAGAGGTTCAGAAGAGTTCCCCAGGAGAGCAGAAACTACCAGAATGAACAGGCCTTTGCACCCGTCCACCTGCATTGGGTTCCTGGCTCTGGGACGGGGAACTTAGGTGACTACAGCTCAGGTTTCTTCAAGCTCTTAGCTTCAGCACGCTAGAACCACTCCCACCCCCAACTCGGACAAACCAGAACAGTCTGCCTGACCCCACAACTCTCATTCCTGAAGTGTTCTCTTCCTCTTCTCAACCACTGCTAAAGAGCTGCCAACACACTCTCAATTTCTTTACTTCTATTCTGGTCTCAGTCCTCCACATTCTAGCTTCGGTCCCTTCCCTCATTGAAATCTCGTTTCCTGCCGTCACAAGTCGTGACCTTGGCATCCCTTGTGTAACAGGCCGCCCTTAGCTTCGTCTGGCCTTACTCTCCTTCTGACTTGAGCATTCCCTCCTGGAAGGTCCCCTCTGTCGTCCCTGGTTTCTGGTGGTCCTCCTTTTCTCTGGCTCTTTCCTCTAAGTGTGTCTTCTGGGATCCCCTTCCTCCACCTGGCCACAGAGCTTGAGCACTTAAGTTCCCCGGTGAGCCTCACTGGTTTTCTTTGTTTCCTCACATTCTTCTTTCTTCCAAAGCGCCAGGTCCTGACCCACAGTGTCGGTGGCCACTCCACTGCTGATGCCTGACTCATGGATGTGCATCTCCAGCCCCTGCTTCTCCTCTGAGCCCTAGACTCCCACCTTCTACCATCTAACTGCTGTCCTTACTAGGGCGGCTCAAAAGCACCTCAAACTCAACAGGATCTTTCTTCTCATGTTCTCTTCCACTGACAAAAGTGGTGCACTATCCTCCATCTTGTATGTAAAATGACCCTGACCAAGACCTGTGGATTTTACCTAAGAATCTTGGGATTATGTGCTCCCCTTTCCATCCCTGTAGATACCATCCAAGTCCAAGTTACTGACATCTTTCCCTAGACCCCTGTAATAACCTCCAGCTGGTCTGCTCTTGCTCCTCTTCAACAGTTTCTCCACATTGTGGTTAGAATTATTCTTTAAGTAAAAGCAAATTATATGATGTCACTCCTGTGTTTAAAGCATATCATAAGCTTCCTACTGCCCAGCCCTTGATGAGGCCTCCTTGACCTGCAGATTCTGGCCCCTGTCGACCTGTCCAGATTCATTTTGTACCACTCTTTCCACTTGCTTGGGGTTACTCCTTCATAAAGCTCCTTGGTCTTACCACAGGGCTTTAACACATGCCATTCTTTCTCTGAAAGACCTTCTTTCACCTACCCCATAGCCTAGCTTCCTTTGTAAGAAGGAAGAGAAACCTTCTTTGACCCCTTGAAGCAGAGGTTCTCAAACTTGAGCTTGCATCTAAATGTCCCTTGGGGCTATGTTAAATTAAAAAAATCAGATGCCACCCCCCACTGGCCCCCGAGTTTATCATCCAATGGGGTCTGGGGTGGGGACTGACACCTGTATTTCTAACAAGTTCACAGGAATGTTGAGGCTGTTGGTCTGGAGGTCACACTTAGAGAAGCACTTATTCAAAGGTATACCTTCACCTTATATGCTTTCATAGATGTGTGCACCTCTCTTTCAAACACTTTCATAGCTAGATTTTTACATGGTTTGGGGGTAATTCCTTGATTAACTCATCTTTCTTTCCCACTAGACTAAACTGCGGGATAAGAGAGACCATATATGGCACAAAACAGATCCCTTGCAAATATCTATTGAATGAATGAAAGGTGAATAACTGCAAAGAGCACAGAGGAAAATACATTTTAAAAACCTCAAATGACTACTTTGCAAACCAAAAGAGTCAGCCTCAAATGGCTACCTTCAGGCCAAATGTCCCAAGAGCTTAGTCCTCGGAGGAGAAGCCAAGTCAGGACAGACTGTAAAGTCCTCAAAGCCTGTGACTGTGTCGTTCCAACCCACTCCTACCCTGGAGACTGGCCTACCCCCCAGCTGCAAAGGCATGCCAGAAGGAAACAGGGATGACGTAACAAGTGGATCCCATAGGACACTGTCAGAAGCTGGGGCCCTGCCAGATAATGGGAGGCTTCATAAAGCCACTTTTATTGAAAATAAATAGTTGATGATAAAAGAGATCAAGGGAGTTACTGAGAAGAAAGATTAAGACAGACTAGTGGAATATCCTTTAGGAGGATAAGACAACCGTAAAAATCAAGCTTTATTTTTCATTAAGAAAAAATGAAAACGATAAAAGAACTAGTAAAAAAAAAAAAAGTACAGGCTCCCTGAGAGACAGGCAGAAATGTTAGGAGACATGCGTGGCAAACGTGGATCGTTAAAGCTCTCTGAGAGATCAGCACAAAGAAAATCAAAGGCAAGATAACATTTTCTGGTGGCATTTCTTGGTAGCTTCTCCAGAGATGGAGGAAAGGGAATAAAGAGAGATGCCAGAGACAGGTTAGGGCAGGAAGGTGTTATAAAATGCACCTACTATTAGCAAAGAATGGGATGCCTTCTATCCACATTAAAATAGCGAAAATGTTCATCCAAGAAAGAGAGCCTACACAATCCTAAGTGCTCCACTGGGTACCAGGCAGAGGGTGGCACATAACAAGGAGGCTGCAGGTCACCTTGAGGAAGTCAATGGCTGGTGAAATGTCTTCTCTAGACTGTCCATCTTGGATCCTGAGGCAGGGCTCCAGGGCAGATGAATGGCCTCTGTCTTTCCTCCGGGGCTGTCCCGTTCCTCAAGCACCCCATTTGCTGGTTGCAGGAGGTGACTCCCTCTGGGGGTCACAGTTCCGAGAAAGTTCTGTCAGTCTCCAGGAAAGGCCAGTGTTTATGTGGTCAACCTGCAAACATGGTGGGTGAATTCAAGTCTGTCCTGGAGCAAGGGTCCAGAAAAGAGAGAGGGGAGTGGAGGCGCTGGTGGCCCAATCAAGACACAATCTATGGCTGGGATAAGGTTTTCTCCATCTGGGAGTAAACCTCGGATGGCTGGACATCTGGAACTTCTAGAAAAAGCACTTTTCTGGCAGAGGAAAATAGGGAATGTTTTAACAGGAGCTCTTTTCAATACACAGTCATATGCTAGAGGTCTAAAGTTAGTGGAAAACTTTTGCTCCATAGTACTTTTAAGGAAATAGTAAGAATGAGGGAATGTGGAAATAATAAGAAGCAGATGGGCTTTGGAGTCTTAGAAGAGCGAGGTCTGGGTACTAGCTCTCTCATCTTTAGCTCTAGATGTTGGCCGATTTCCTCTATAACCTTAGTTTTACGGTCTGGAAAAGAGTGTAACAGCCTCTTTGTAAGGATCGTATGACTGGAATAAAACATGGCCTGGCCTTACAAAAGCAAGTCCCCAAGACACAGCAGCCAAAACAGTATGACTGACTCTTGCTCACACCCAAGGGCTAGTTTACAGAATTCTTTCTAGAAATTAAGAAGAGGTTTTGGCTGTCCCTGTGAAGGTGACTGACACCACTGATCCTCTGGTTTACAGGCAGCTGGTCTGGACTCAGGCAGGTCCCTCAGCATCCTGGAGTTATGCCCCCAACCACGTGCTGTCTCACCACCACACAGCAAAGGTAGGCATGTTCCCTTCTTTCCCTGTAAGCACTCAGAATCTTGGTCAGAACATTTTCAGGGAGGTAGTTAAGGGCAAACATTCAAAAGACCCTCAGCATGACTCGATTCACCACTTCACAGGTTAAATACTAACCCTCAGGATTAACAGTCACGAGGACTCCAAGAGTTGGGAACCAGTCCCATCCTCTCTAGAGCATGGCAGAGTTGAGGTTCAGAGTGGGCCTAAGTAACTTGGACAAGGCCACACAGGCGGTAAGTAGGTAGCAGAAACAAATTCCAGCCCAGGCAGTCTGGCCCTGGATTTGGAGTTCTTAGCAACCTTCTAACTTCTCTCATGACCAATGTACAGGTTCACTTGATGGCTTTGAACCAACACATCCCCAAACAGAGACCTTCCTCAATTGTGTGTTCCTGGAAGATTTCAGAGAGCTGGCAGCAGTTCACAAAGGAAATATTCTCAGCTGTTACAAATGGTTCTATTCTGCCTTCTCAACCATGGGCTCAAAGATAGTCACCATAAAAAACTGGTGTCCACATAAGGGCCACACAAGGAGTGAGGGACAGAGAGTATCAGAAGAAATAGCTCTCTGGCCTCCCATGTGTTTCTGGCACACCCATGACTTGTGACTCCACATCATCCTTAACAAAAATAGCCAATCTTCAGGAGGGTGAGGGTGTACCCTTTCAGAAACCAAGGGCAGGGGTCCCTCCATGGCATCCGGGAAAGGAGGGAGCTGGACCACCTGATGTAGGAGGCTGAGCAGGAGGAGCTCAGGTCCTGCAAAACATCTTCTTCACATCTGTTCTGAAAAGGGTGTCCTGAAAACGGGCCTGCCTGTGACATGATATCTGTCTCTACCAACCCCAGCTCCTGCAGGCAGAGTCCCTAGAGAGCACAGGAGGAGAGTACAGTCTGTTAACTGACAGACAAAAGAATGTCCCCACCCAGAAAGAGTGGAGCTGATCAGGATGGATAGCCCCAAACAAACCGGGCAGGTTCTTTGCCGAAAAGGCTTCACTTTGTCATGACAAAGGCCAGGCCCAGTTTTCTATTTGATGGGCAAGAAGGTCCAGATGGGTGCTCCTTGGTGCAGATGAGAATGTCAGAATATCCAGCAACACAAGGATATACACCATACGCATGCACACATACCCCCCCCACACACACCCCACTTCAACCACCACAGCTGCTCTTTAATTTGTTCCCCTTTAAGATTTGAACAAAATGTTCTTCAGCTTTAAAAAAAAAAGACTAAAACCACTCATCCAGGTTTTTTTTGTTTTTAAAAAAGCACTTAATTTTTACTCTGGTTATAAAAGTAATATATGTTCGTTGACAAATCTGTACTGTACAATAGGGAAAATGATGAAGAAAATAATGCTCACTAGATAATTCTGTCACCTGGGAGGTCTCCCTTTGATGGGGAAGCTTGTTAGTTTCAAGAATACCCTGGCTTTGGGAACCATAACAATTCTCATAATCTCTAATTAGAAAAAGAATATCAGGGTTGGCCAGAGAGGAGAAACAGAATTAAAATTAGGAATACATGGGGGAGAAATAACCTGAGGGAGAACTAGGGCATGGCTGGTGTTTAACATATTCCCTCGGAGAATCAAAGGATGACAGGACTTAAATGGTGGCTCCCTTGATCCCAGTTGAAACCTTAATTGAGGCGTAAGGACAGAGGAAGATATAATCATGTTGCAAAGACAGTGTCTCAGATAGCTGCTCCCTGTCAACGTACAGTATCCCTGCGTGGGCTCAGAGGACACAACAGTACTAAGAGACCACTAGAAACATGTATATGCTGCCTGTACATGACAAGATTGTCTGAACAGCAAATTAAGGAAAAGACCTAATTCCACCAAGTCCAGTGGGCATTCCGCTCAAAAAGAAAAGGTGAAAGCACCTAAGGAGTTGGTCTGTGAGTATCAAGGCTCTAACATAAAATGTTTAGGCAATGGATAGCAAAGGGGTGGAAGGGGCCCTTCCGGCCATACCTGGTCGTGACAGAGGTTACTAATCAACCACTACCCACTTTCCCATTGAGTCTTGGTGTGGCCTGAGAATCTACCTCAATAAGGCCTCCATGAGGACCATAGGGAGAGGGGGCGGGGAAAACCGCAGGAGTTAGGGCTTGGGGTACAAACAGTAGTTCACTGATGGCCTGGGGAAGACAGCAGTTGGTGTATGTGTTACAGTATCTTTGCAAGGAACAGTCTCAGACAGACATTCCAGATCTTGCTTGTCTCTGAGTCTCAAGATAAAGCAAGCACCCTTCAGAAGCTATCCAACCATTCTCCAAAGGGTAGGTTTTGAAACCTGGGACTGACAGTCAGGGGGAGCTGCTTATCTGGGGAGAGGCTCTGCTGCCTGCAGAAACAGAAGATAATCCTTTCATAACAAGAGAAGAGAAAATGGGCAAAATTTCTTAAGGAGGCACTTAAATTCCTCGGAGTTCTCTGTGGATCTGGATTTCAGGAGATCAAGTAGAGACAAATCCAGTCAGTTCAACAGGCTCAACCAAAACAAAATCCCGGGTTAAGAGAGCAGGCACTTGATTGAGAAAGAGGTTTTACATTTAAAACTGACCACTAAATTAAACAAAATGCAACAAAACAAGATATGACTCTCAGATATTCTGATTGGACATGGCACATCTCAAGAATATTCTGTTCCCACTGTTTTGCATCTAACAAAGAAAACATCTATACAAAACAGCTGCATGTTAGGGTTGCTTTAAGGAAATGAAACCCACATTTTATTTTTGATGCTCAACTTAAAGTACAAATGCAATTCTCTGATTTTTATCTGCATGTGGGTGCTTCCTTCTTTCTGTGTGGGGAGGATGCTGGAGTTCATTATATGGAGTAAATAGTGCTATCACTGAATGCTTTGGAGTGAAGAGGCAGACCTATGGCTTCTGACAGATCAAGCCCATTGTTTAAGGCTGGTTCTACCAATCAAGTGCACAGCCTGGGAGGATGGAAGGTACCCCAATGTGCAACCAACAGTCCTTGGAGTCTCCATTTTCCACAAGGACTAAGAAGACAGAGGTGGTAACTGTAGCTACAGTTTTTAAGTTTGTGATGGGCCTATACTTAGATCCCACAAACCATTCAATGCCTGACAGCCTTTATGGGGCTTCTTATCTCCATTTTCTTGATAAGAAAAATCAATACCAAGAGGATTTGTAAATAACTTGTCCAAGGTCATTCAGCTGACAGTAAATCCAGCTTTGAACCCAAATCTGGCAGATTCCAAAAGTATCCTTCCGGCTGAGGCCTCTTATCCCACTACTGCCAATTGGTCAGAGAAGTGTCTTGCCTGAGAGAGCTTTTGCAATCAGGGGAAGTGGAAATTTACTTACTCAGAAGAGGGCATAGTTAAGATAACCTCACTAAACCCCCTCTCTCCAGGGTAATGCATTAGAGGCCAAGCGTTGGAGCTAGAAGGAAGAGGAGGACTAGCTGGATTCAGAAGTGGGGGCCATGGGCAGCCCCAGGAGGTCTGAAACTCCATCTGTTTTCTCAGCCAGGGGATGGCCTTCCTGGGTGCATGTTTGTGCCAGAGGTCTCTGAGTGCCTGGACTCTGTCCCCTCATTGTTCTTCTGATTTTTCTTCCTTTTCATAACCTTGCCCTCTTTTCAGCACCATTGGCATGAAAGGCATGTGCAGAGAACAATGCAGGCCACAAAAAAGAAGCTGAGAAGCCAAGGCCAAAAGAGGGTTGGCAGCATGTGACTCTTCATAACAAAAGGTTCAACAGACTTTTTACAGGTTTGTTAATCTGTTTTTCCATTTAAAATCAAGTAAGAGTGACCAATAAGTGGACACATTCTTAAGTGCCAACTTCTGTCAGTCTTGATTCTCTATCAGAATATAGCTAGAAAAATAGAGAAAAATGTGCATTTCTTACTACTTGCCTGACCTGAATATTTATTTACCCCAGGCACACTGGCACTATTTCTAAAAAGAGCACTTTACCCAGCCAATCACCAATTAGAAAAGTGGGTTAATAGAGTAAGGTAATGAAAGCCACGAGACTTCCCAGAGATTTCGATCAATGATCGACATCTTCATTCATATCAGATTTCATTTTTTAATTCAGTGTCTAGGAAAATATTCAAAATAAGAGTAATCACATGAGCTCAAAGAAGGCAGTATGACCTCCAAGATGTCACTAGAACTTGGTGAGATGGTACATTTGCCCGGCATAGGAGAGTATCATGCTCAAAGGAGAGAGAGCAGATGGGAAGGGACAGGAAGGAGTATTGGTCTTCAGGGACGTGGGGATCCCCCCAAGAAGCTCCAGTGCACTTTGTGTGAGCCTGGCAGGTAAGAGCAGGATTAGTGTGCTTACTGTAGATGGTCAGGTCACACAGGTGTGGGAGGGAGCAGATCGTTCCTACTTTGGATGACAGAAGTGGAAAAGAGGCCAGACACCCCCAAGAGGAGGGCTTCAAGCTGCCTAGTGCTTACAGGAAGCCTCATTAGCTAAAGCAGAGTAGCTGCTACATGGTAGGACTTGAGGAAATTGCATTCTTTAAAATGTAGAGAAAAGATGGGTAGGAGCTTGTGGACTGTGACTCCCCCTAAAGGAGTAGGCTTTGCAAGATGAAATGAACTGTGACTAATTCCAGAGAGGTGGCAACTGGGAGAAATCTAAAGGAGCTATTGTGTTTTTCATGACATGTTCTGTTTAGAAAAGGACTTGTACAAAGATAGAAGGAAGGGCACAGTACCAAGGACAAACTGATAAGAGTGACACATTTCTGTGAGAACGATGCCCAACTTAAGCAGAGGCTTGAAAAAAAAAATGCTAGCAAAAAAGAAAAAAGGGCAGAAGTAGATTATTTTTCATTAAGATTTGAAAAGGAATGAGGCCCAGGCTTAGGGGTCACAGTGGTGCGTTTAAAGCGGGTAGTGAAAGTAAGACAACTCGACTCCTGTTTATGTCTAGTCCCTCTGAAAAGCAAAATGGTCTTCTAACTAGAAGGGCTTAAAGAAGCACGGTTAAAAGAACAGTAGAGGCCTTGGGGTGTAGCCCTGTGGTAAAGTGCTTCTCTAGCACTCACAGGGACTTGGGTTCCCAGTACTGAAAAAATAAAATATAATAAAGCACTGGGCAGTAAGGGAGGGGTGTGGACAATCAATAGGTGGGATCTCCTCTTAGACTCTTCAGTCCAAATCTCCCAGCCCTGAAGCCTCACATCCCAAGGTCCATGCAAACCTAAGGAGGGGATATCAGAGCCAATGTACTTGATTCCTGAGAAACTTCTTGAAGAGTTCCAAAAAATTGTTATCAGCAAATGTACCAATTTACCCAAGAAAGAAAGATGTAATTCTGCTAGAAAAATTGTAAGGCCATATAATTTAAAGAAGGTCTGCAAGCCTTTTGAAAAAGAAGAGATGGACTTTGAAAACTAGCATGGATTTTGAGAAAGAAGCAGGACAAAAAGGCTCTGCTGGCATTGTGCCTCATAGGCCTCCTAAGAGGGCAGATTGGGGGAGGCTTCATAGAGTTACTAGGTATCTTGAAACCAAAAATGACACAAATATTGGCTCTGTATCTCTTTAGATTGAGGACAATAGGGACATGTGATCACCACGATCCCCAGGCTTAGCTGCCCCTCGACTGGGTTTCCTACTTGCCTGGCCTGGCCTGCCATCAAACCTCAGTGCTGGCACCACTTCAGCTTCCCTTCTTTGGAATCTCTTTCCCCACCCGCTTTGTCTGGTTGGTTGTTTCAAAACTCAACTCAAACAGCACCTCCTCTAGGAAGCTTTCTCTTTGGGCCCCCCAAGAGGCAGAAGTCCCTTATCCAAATAGGCCAAGCACTAGGGTCACTACCTGGTGCTGTCTCCCTGGGCTGCACCTGACAGCTCCCTTCTCTGCCTCTCCAGGCACCTGCAAGCTCCCAAGGAGGGGATCTGCATTTCCAAAGCCCAGCACGGTGCCAGGCACCCAGCAGACCCTAAAGACAATTGTTTGAATGAGTTTTACTTAAGGTTCAAAGTCAATCAGAAGGAGATTGTATCCCCTGGACTTCTCTTGAGTCCAGACTTTTCTTTAGTGATATGGAGGTCTGATATTCTTTCAGAGGCTATAAAACTGGGAGAGAGAAGAAGAATTAGATAAAAGGCTCAAGGTTCACAAGCAATGTACAGACTGGTCATAAAACCTAAAAACAGAGATAACTTTTTATATTGTTTTTTTTTTTTTTCTAATTTTCCTGTGGCATGCTAAAGGGACAGGTTTTTTTGCGTGTGTGGGGGGGTGAAAAATCAGAGAGAAATGGGAAGCAATACCTCACAGCTGATTACATAGGTACTGATGGAAAGGCTGCATTAAATTACCACATTCCTTGTAATTTTGTCCGGTGATATCAGCTATGTATTGTTAATGGTGGATAACACAATGAATATATCATGTAATGTCACCAGTCATACTGCATATTATAAGGTAATATTAGTAAGCCATTTGTTATGCATGCTTGTTTATGTTTCCAAACTTTATGGACATTCTGTGGAAAGACAACCGACAGTTAACAATAACTTTTTATCAGAAATAATTATGAAGCTTTACATTAGGTCTCAAAAAAAGTGAACTAGTTATCCATCTGTCTGTAGCACCCACTTTATGGCAAATACTATCCTAGGATCAACAAACTTAGTATAATGTAAATACTGCCTTTGTGTATGGGGGGATGGATAATAATTAAGTAAATGACATAATTTCAAATGCTGATGATGGCCATAAGGAAAAAAATATATATATATATAGGGGAGACCTTGGGACAAGGAGATACACATAGACATAGATGCATCTTCGATATTTGCAGCAAGTTTCTGTGAGGAAGAGCTGAGTGGGACTTAGTTGGCTGATAAGGGCCATTAAAAAAAAAAGTATGACAGTTAAAAAGTAGGCCTCGGTTATATTAATAGAAGCAGAGTGGTGAAATCCAGAGCTATGACAATGCTAGGTCTCTGTGGCAATTACACCACTTCTAGACCACCTTCTGCCAATGCTATACTTTGAGAGAGTCATTGAACATATCTGGGGGCGGGTGGTGGTGTTTAGAAACCTCATCTTATGAGGTAAGGTTGAGAGAACCAGGAATTTAGTCTGCAGAAGGAACCACGAGGCAGACATTTTCAAAATAGCTGAAGATCCAAGATGTCCAGAAGAGAATGAGTCCATGCTGTGTTATTCTAGGACCCAAGCCCAAACAACTGTTTTGAACTGTAGTTCAAAAACAGGGGAGATGTTTCTAGTAGAATTAATAGGCATGGAATTGCTTATTGAAGAAGTGAACACCCCATTTCCAGAAGTATTCAGAGATCGGGTAAATAACTATTAAAAAGAGTGATGAGGGATTCCTACATTGAGCAAAGGATTTTCTTCAAGGACATAGCTTGGGAATGAGGTAGAGCTTTATTTCTTTGAGTGAATGATTTTCTCATCTTGGAATGGCAAGTCCACTTTAAAATATTTCAACTACAATCAACAATAACACCAAGTACTTTAGATCCCTCCTTCCTCTTAAGAGCTTTGGTTTCCTTTGAAAAGTGGTATCCTGAAGATGAAGGAACTGATGGGTTGTTTGTGATGGGCTTTTTTGTCATTGGGATGTCTTGGCTGGAGGCCTGAGCCTATGCTGGGAGACCTGGAATTCTCACCTTCTTTGCCCTCAGCAACTGAGAGATGATGGAAGGGATGGGGATCCTGAAGGCATGCCCCATGTTTAGAAGTGACCTCCACATACCAGAATTACAGAGACCCAACATAGGGGGACTAGGACCCATGCTGAACCCCCACTAACAACATGTAACTAGGAACACTGCATGATGCTTTCACTCATCTCCTCTGGGAGTCCTGTAAGTTCAGCTCTCTGCACTTGCCACCTTCCAGTGGCAAGTGACCTGCATTTTATGGCTCAGGTTGAAGGCTCAGTTCTATCCAGGGGATCTACAGAACTCTCATAAGGCAGCCACCTCCCCCACTCTTTGGAATGTGGACTTATCTTGGTATTCCACTTTCTGTTCCACATGTTGTTTTTCAGGCTATGTCTACAGAGTGAGTTAACTGAACTCTTTCGTGTATAGAGTCAACTTAATTGCTCAGTGTAATTATTTTATGATTATGTTTGACAGTGTAACAGATCTATCTTTACCCATATTTGGAACAGAATCTAAACAAAGATTAAGGCTTAAGGCAGTGATTAACTTCAATCCCAGACCAAATTATTTTTTATTTACTTGGTGAATAAAACGTTTTGAAGGACAGTGGAGAACATGGGATATAAATTCAGTGAAATACCATACCTGAGCCACAGACAACAAAAACGAACAGTGCCAACAGCCATGGTCCTACAGGATATTTCTCTTCTTGCGGCCTCTATGAGAGAATGGGAAAAAGTAAAATTAGGTTTATTGATTCAATAAACACTTATTGAGAACTACTAGGCATTGAGCTAGGTGCTGGGGATTCTACTGTGAATGAGACAGATTTGGTCTCCCTCTTTCTTATTGACAGATATAGATGAATAAAGTTAATTATAAAGGATTGAGATAGGTTTGAAAAAAAATTTATCCACAACCTATTAACACCCACGTAACTCAATGAACTTGGTAGTTTTCAATTTTAGGCACAGATGAGGCACAAATACAAACTAACACAGAGGTTTTGGAGATGATATTGATAATTGCTTCTATCTGTTAAAAGCACATTCCATGCCAAGCACCAATAGGCAGTCCACATCTATTATCTCCAGCACGCACATCTCAGTATAAAGCAAGTATGATGATGATTTCTACTCTGTAATTGAGAAACTGAGATTCAAAGTTTGTTAACCTGAGCAAGAGCTAGTATATAATTCTTTACAGAGCCTTGGTGTTTTACACTCTCGATTTTTAGCTCTCCTGCACCTGTGAAGCCCAAGCAGGATCAGAGAGCACAGGCATTTTCTCAAACCCTTTCATATGTTAAGTTTTTGAAAGTCAGTGCAGTAGAAATCCTTGGAATAACCGAAGCACCCAGCAACAGTGGATGGATCTGAGGGAAACAGCATGCTGGAATAACATCCCTCAGCCTTACTGAAGCTTGAACTTTGGAGAAATCTCTGCATTCTCTGGCAAAAGAAAGCCACTGCTTTATCTGCAGGAACACAATCCTACCTACCTCCTGGGGTCTTCTCAAACCAAGAGCACAGTGGTAATCAGAATGTCCCACTAGGTCTATGTTTAAGTGGTCCTTAAAACCAAACCAGTCAATGGAACAAGCACATTTTCTGGTGAAGCATCAGAAAAACCAATGACTTAGCAAATAAAAAGGGAGAAGAAAGAGAATGAAAAACAGCAAAGGATTCACTATTCCCTCATTAGGTTGAGCAGAAGATAAGCTGTAATCAAAATAAGTTAAATAACACACACACACCCCTCACAGGGCAGGGAGAAACATACTGGTAGAGTAAATATATTGACAAAACATTTACTGGTGGTGGAAATCACAAAATACAATTTTGGATTTTGATTAAATGTGTTGACATTTTAAAATATAATCAACATTATAGAATGTGGGCTAAACACACTGAAGGTATATCATATTAGTATTTTTTTAAAAAATGAGCAGTGCTGTCATCAAGGATGAAATTTTGGGATATGCTAAACAAGTTTTAGTAATGTTTCTAACAAAGAAAGTACAATCTTCCTTTGATTTTCATTGTAGTGACCTTCCTGTAAAATTCATTATATGTTAAAACTGGAAAACACAGGTTGCATTTGTACATAATATGGAGTTATGTTCTATGTTCATGTAAATAAAAACTTTCAACTTTTAACAAGAATTCCCTCATTTTATTATGAATCAGGCAACGATTTGTTCTCAGTTTTCCTGTTACATTCTAAGCCTTTCCTCTTCTACTTCACCAGTCACTTGTATGGCCATGAACTTTTTTCTTGACAGTACATATAATCATTACATATGATCATTTATAGCGTTTTATTTATTTCTGTTACTATGTGTTTAATGTCTGTCTCTTCACTAAACTGGAGGCCTTACCTGGGCAGGCTTTGTGTCTCTTTCAGGTATTAAAGTGTAGCAAAGCCTGGCACAAAATTTAAATGTAGCAGATAACACATGTTCTTTGGAGAATCAATAAGCATACAATTTCATTTTAGGAAGAATAAAGTCCAGATCTAGGAAACATCTTATTTTTGTATTAGTACTTTTTTATTGGGGCGGGGGAGGGTATACCAGGGATTGAACTCAGGGGCACTTAACCACTGAGCCACATCCCCAGCCCTATTTTGTATTTTACTTAAAGACAGGGTCTCACTGAGTTGCTTAATGCCTCACTATTGCTGAGGCTGGCTTTGAACTTGTGATCCTCCTATTCTCAGCCTCCCAAGCTGCTGCGACCACTACAGGTGTGCGCCACCGCACCTGGCTGTATTAGTACTTCTTAAAGGAGAAAGGGTTATCCCTACATTTCTCTTAGTAGAAAAGTATATTTGTCAATGACCAAGGAATAAAGCCATTCAATCTCTGTTCTTGATAAGCCTGTACCTATCCTCAGTTACACTTGTACCTACCCTCACCTTACTTAGTCACACTGCAAGGGAATAATAGGCTGTTGCTCTTGACCAGACAAGGACAAAAATCAGTCTACGAATTGCGTAAGATAACTTTATTTGTGTCAGTCTTCAGTACTAAAGACCAGGTCAAGCTCAGATTAAGTAAATAATACAGATATTAATAAAGTTACTGGAACAAAGTGTGACATTTACCCTTCTCTGCCCTCCAAATAATTTGTCATAGTTAGTCATTTTAGCTCTATTTCCAGCAAAGTCAACAAGTGAATTCAGGAGCCAGTAAATGAATTATTAGTCTAGCATAGATATCAAGCGGAATGTTTTTGTTTTTTACTTGCAGACAAATACAAATTATTAGCATGTAGAGCTTGAAGCACATGACACAAAAACCTTTCTGAGGATATTCTCTAGTGAATCAATATTATTTTGGGACTTTCAGAGCTCATGAATACCTGGCTATTCATAATACTGATACATCCATATCTGAGAGCTTTGGGTTTCTATTGTTTTGAAAGAGCCAGTGCAATCCCAATGGGACGACTCACATAAACCTGAATCTATTGCTGGGAAAGGAATGGGAACAATAGCAATTCTGCAATTGACAGGGTTCACTTCAAACATGAGGCTCAAAGATGTCAGGGGATGGCTTTCCCTGTATTAAGATACTGGCAAGGCAACCTGGAACTCTGTAATTTAAATTTCCCTCCCATTCTGGAGGAGTTACTACTATACAATCACAAAATGAGTATTCCATTTTTCTGTTTCTTTATTAATCTGCTATCTGGGAGGAAAAAATGTTAATTTGCCCCATAGCTGCCAGCTAATAATGATACTGAAGGTCTGCATACAATTAAAGGGGAAGTTTGAATTTTCATTTGGAATCCCTAAATATGTTCCCATTTACTGAATTTCACACTGAATAAGATGTCTTCTGCAAGTTACTTCTATCAAAGTATAATCATATTGGACTTGTAATTGGGAAAATGAGATTTAGGATTTATAGAGATTCTTTTTGAAAGAGAATCTCATTTTTCTTTTTGGATGCTGACCCATTTACAGTAAAGTTAACCAAAAGTCTCTCCAACCAATTGAAAACAAACATTTATTGTGGCTTGGTTTGGAAACCTTTCATTACAAATTTAGTTGGGCCATTTAAAAACCCTCAATAGGCGCCAGGCACTTTCAGAGCCCCCCGCCACCCCATGCTATATCAGAACCTATTAAATACACTCATATCGCACATTAAATATAATTTAAATGTAGCTCTGAAATTTGAGTTGAGTTGAACTGCAGTGACTGGTTACATTTACTAGATATTTAAACAGCATTTTCCCAATTTCCTCATTTTCTTTTCTTATTTAAGAGCCAAAATTTTTGTAATAGGTCCCAAACATTTTTTAGTGGTCTTGAAAACAGTTAGAGGTGGCAGACACAGAGTCTACCAAGCTTAATGGATAAAACAGCCGTGCAAATTAATCTTACTTTGCTCTTATTTTGCAGTCAGATAAGTTGTCAACTGAGATCAATTAACAACTGAACTCTGGTTCCTTCAGTCATTAGAAAGAGCCACACATCTAGATATTTTCACTGTGTCAGCAAGTAGGTCTGATACTTTGAGAAGGAAAATTTGATCTCCTAGGAACACAGAACCATGTGTGCTGTAATATCAATCAAAATTCGTTTTTCAATGTCAATTTGTGCCACAACTTTTTTTTTTAGTAAAAATAAATAGGGAAAACATAGATCTACATGAAAAATGGTTCCAATTTGATGGCACACTGGCATTTTGGTGCCCTAATCACAGCTAAGTTATGTAATACCCAAGTAAGAGAATTTTAAGGATCACTGAAGCCTCAGATTGTACATAAAGCTCTGAGTAGAGTTTGAACCTCAGAGTTCTCTATGACAATACTTCTTGGTTTTGCAAGAATTCAGTATGATGATTGCAGATTCAGCTTTTTGCTCAGTTAATCAAACCAACGTAATTTCTTTGTCTAAAAGGAATTGCCTCATCAAGTCTGCAAGCGTTTCCAGCCAAACCCCAAGCTTCAGCTGGACTTCCACTCAACTGGATGGGATAATGGATTCCAGGTGCCTTTGCTCAGACTTGGAGACCAACTCTGTCCAGCAACCATCCATTTCATGCCTCTGTCCAAAAGATGCACAGGCCTGGCGTCTTCCGTTGAAAACAATCTGCTTTACCAAGTTAAATCCTCATGCATAAGGCACAGGTTTTACTTTAGATTTCGGTTGTAAAGCTTTAATCTACAGCTCTGGGAGCACAGAACCACCGGCAATAAACTGGTCTTTAAAGGTTACATCATCAGAATTAGCCTGAATTCACAGGGCAAACAAGAGTAATGTTGCACTTAAACTTCAGCCTGGCGGCAGCAGGAAACCCCACCCCCCCCCAAAAAAAATAAAATGTGGATAGGAATCTCACTACTAGACTCTTGAGTTCTTTCAACATACAAAGGGGCTGCAAACAAAACCCTATCATGGTGTGTGTGTGTGTGTGTGTGTGTGTGTGTGTCTGGGAGGGAGAACAAGGGTGGAGTCTGGAAGAGAGAGATCTTAAATGGCCTCTATTACCCATTCGTTTATTCATTCATTCAACAAACATTCTAGCACCTACTAGCTTCGGGCCCTGTGTTCATGCAGTTGGCCTAACTGTCCCCTAAGGAGGTGGACTTCCAAGGACGACGTCCCAATTCTCTCCTGGGACTGCCCCCGCGCCTCCCAGGTAGCCCAGGCGGCCACTCCCAGAGGGGCCACGACCAACCAGGGCCATCTCCGCCCACGAGGCCGCCGAGAGAGAAGTCCGCGCCCCCTGATCCCCGAGTCTGCGGGACCCCGCAGGAGGGGCAGCCCGCAGCCCGGAGCCGGGAGGCCGGGCCCTGCGCCCGCGGCCCGCCCGCCCGCCCGCCCTGCTCGGCCCCGCCCCGCCGGGTCCTGCCCGGCCCGGCCCGGCCGGCGCCGCCCCGCCTTACCAGGGTTTTGGCTACGTTCCCCCTCTGGGTGATGTTTTTGCTGTGCTTCTCGTTAGCCATCCGGATCCGCTGTTTGGCCACCATGGCTTGGGCGCTTTGAGACGCTCTCGACTCCCACCTGCAAGGATCCCCAGCGTTAGCCCCCCGCGACAGGGCCGAGCGCGTCCCGCCGAGGCCCCTGCGGCCCTCCCGGGCGCTGCAGGTGGCAAGGCGCGGCCCCGAGCCCCGCGCACCCCGCTCCCGGAGCCCCAGCGAGCCGGCTCCAGAGAGAGGCCAGCGCCCGGACGGAAGTAATCTCTCATCTCAGGAAACCCTCTCCGACTTCCTCGCTATCCTTCCGGTCCCCCCAGCTACCCACCCAGCTCGGCCACCGAGGCAGAAGGCAGGCGCGGCCGGGAGTCCGCCCGCAGCGAGCCCCCGGAGCGCAGCGCACAGAGCCGAGCCGCCGGAGCCCGGGCCCCGCGGAGCCGCTGTCCTGCGGCCGATCGCGGCGGGGCCGAGGGTTCGGGTGGCCGCGGCGTTTGTGAGCGCGTGGGGGGTGGGGGCGCGACAACCCGAGCGCCCGTGGGCCCGCGAGCCACCCCAGGCCGGGGAGAAACTGGGGTGGCCGCGCGTCAGGTGGAAGGATGGACCTGAGGAGGCCCGGCCCGGGGCCTGGAAAGTCACAGAGACCCCCGACCCGGGCTGGGCCTGCACTGTTGGGAGACAGTCCAAAAGAATCTCTCCTTCAGGGTCCCGGGAGAAGGGGTCTGTGTTTCTCCAGCTCTGCACAAAGGGACCTGTTGTCAAATGCGAAGAGGAGACGGGAAGCCTGCGTCCTGAGAGATGAAGATCAGGGGTCCTGAGGAGAGTTAGGACAGGCCTTCTTGCCTAGGTAGTTGTGCGAGTTACATGGGAAGATGGGCCAGAGACAAATCTAAGCAGAACACGGGGGAGTATGGAGAGGTCTTGGGCCTGCTGCTGGGGTCGGATTTGGTGCCAAACCAAAGCCAAAGCATTGCCTAGCCTTGGCTTTCTACCGCCCTGGGGCAATTAGACCTTCCTCCAGCCACTCTTGTTTCAGGGGCTTGAATGTGGACTCCAGACTGAACTGGGAATTTCCCTGCAGTAGAAGGATACAAACAAGGGTTTGAGTCTCCCAGACCCTGGTGTTAGAACTTCCCAGATTGCCTAAGCAGGGGTCCAGGAAAGGGGTTCATTTGCTCACTTTTCCACCGCTGAACACACTGGAGTTAGCTCTTCCTTGCTCAAAAGGAAAAGTGGGGAAACACCCTGGCAGATTTGGAGCAGTGGTAAGTTGTGACCCGAGGTCAGGGGTAGGGCAAGGCTAGCACCCCCAGTGTTGGAAGAAGAGCTATGGCAGCTTTGCCTCATGTAGCTCTGGCCCTCCTCTTGTGGCACCGCCATCTGGGTTTCCACAGGGTCTTGTGTGGGCAAAATTCTCCTATGTCTGTGGGAAGTTAGGAAGAACTCTCCTTTGGGGCCCTTCTCTAAGCTAGTCCCCTTCCCCACTTTTTGAGTGAAGTGTTTTTCATTCAAGCTTCAGCATAGGCTGTTCAGGGCTATTGGTTTAATCCAGAGGATAGGGCATTAGTTCCATCCTTCTTCCCCCCATCCCTGTCCCTCTGTCTTTCATCTCTAGAAGTCAGTTCAGTTTGAAATTAGCTTCCATTGACTTCTTAACCATTGCCACCAACGTCACCACCATTATTGCAAGGCCACATACCCAAGTGTGCTCCATTCTAGTCCCATGCTTTTAACACTCTGTTTTTGTTTTGAGGGGAGAGGCATCCTACAGTGTCACTTTCTGAGCCTGGATGTGATATGCAGCCCAAATGCCTGAGGAGGAGGCAGGGGCAGGCCCTCCCCAGAGCTGAACAGAATCCAGGCTCTGAGGGACATTCAGAGAGAGATTTGATAGAGGTGGTTTCCCCTTTGGACTTTCAGGCAGGAAAATGTCCTTGGCTGAAAGAAGCTCACTTTCCTACAGCCCCAGGTGGGCAGCATTGATGGGGAAAATTTATTTCTTGACCCTTAACTTCTGCTTGTTACCTATTTTACTCATTTTGATTAATTTTTAAAATTATAAATAGACTGCATGTTCACAGAAAGCAGTTAAATGGAAACAGGAAATATTTTCTTCCACCCTAAGAAAATACAATGCACACTCTTCTGCCGCTCTCTTTTCTTTCTTATAGATAATATCACTATATAGTAGTTCACTCTTTTTTTTGTGGTAGTATTATATCCCATAGTATGACTGTACAAATATATATTAAACTACTGGTGGGCGGTTATTTTGAGTGTTGACAGCAATGCTTTAGAGAATATCACCGTATGTATATCTTTATATACTTGTGCAAGTATATCTATGTGTGATATTGCATGTATTTAGTCTTCATCAGATTTCTTAAAACTCCTAAAATCCTTGGAATCTCTGGAGTGATAAGAATCTCTCTTGTATGCTAATGAGATGACTAGTGCTGAGGACCCCTAGGTAGCCTTGTGATTAGGGCTGATCACCAGAAAGACCATGTCCTGATTAGAGAGTTGGGACTTTAGCCCTACCCCCAACCTCCAGGGAGGAGTTTGTGGCAGAAGATTGAGTTGATGAATGACTAGTGATGCAATCAATCATGCCTATGTAATGAAGCCCCCATAAAAGCCCAAAAGGCCTAGGTTCAGTGAGCTGCTGAATTGAACATGTGGGAGGTTCCTGGAGGGTATGGAAGCTCTGTGCTCCTTCCCCATACCTTGCTTTATGTGTCTTTTCCATCTGGCTTTTCATCTGTAGCCTTTGCAATAGCCTGTGTAATAAAAGGATGAAAAATAAAGTATTTCTCTGAGTTCTGTGAGTCATTATAACAAATTAGTCAAACTCAAGGAGGGGGTTGTGGGATCCCAAATGTATAGCCAGTTGGTCATAGGTATAGATGACAACACCTACTTGTGAATGGCATCTGATGGGAGGGCAGTCTTGTGGGATAATATGATGCCATCTCCAGGTAAGCAGTATCAGAACTAAATTAGAGGGTACACAGCTGGTGTCCACTGCAGAATTGCTTGGCATGTGGGGACCGTCCCCACCTCCCTCATTGGGAGGTTGTGTTGGCTGTGTGAGCATAGGAGAAACAGGTTGGTTTTCCCTGTGGAATTAGATTCCTGGAAATAAATTACTATAACTTTTTATATCATTTGCTGATGTTCCTGGTGCTTAATTTGGAAGAGAAAACTGTGCTGTGTGCGGTCACGTTTCTCACGACTAAAACACTCAGGGTCACTCCAGGTGAATAAGCACACAAGAGACAGTGATACCTTTCTCTTTGGGTCCTGTGAGGCTCCTCTAACCTTAGGGGTCCATAGAAAGAGAGAGAGTGAGAGAGCTCGTTCTGAACCCTTTTATTGAGGAGAAGCCATTCAAATGAGGCAAGGAGTCAGGTTTCAGGGGGTTGAACCTAGCCTCTTGATGTCTACTGTCAGCAGATTGACTGACATCTAGGAAGGCCATGCCCAAAGGCAGAGCAAGAGAAGGGGACACATAAAGAGAGTTTCCATGGAACATTCTATCCCAGACAGGGCAAAGGGGTAGGATTACAAAAGAATAGGTGAATATAGCTTGACCCCAAGGTTACACCTACTCATAAGACTGGCCTTGCTATCCAGGCGGGACAACGCCCAAGTCACCACGAAATGTAGTGATTGGTCAGAGCCTCCTGCTTCAGGACTGGAAGGTGCTCCCCACAGTGAACTCCACTACACCCATTCCTACACTGCTTTTGTCCTCTGATCTCAATTCTGCAGGTTCTCTAGAGGTCTCAATTCTGTTTCTTGCCTTGAGGATCACTATAACTGACCAAGAAGAGTTTTCCTTCCCAGCCTGGATCTTATCCTTCCTCTACTCAAACTTTAGTCTCCAGCCTCCCTTAAGCTAAAGACTACACAGGCTCACCCCAGAAGCTTCTACAGGGGAGCTGGACCTACCTCCCGGGAGTTCCATATTAACCAATAGACTAAGGAGCCAAGCCTGGAGTTGTCTTGTTCTTTTGAGTTGGGAGGACTTCAGAGAGGAATGGAAGCTCGATTGAGAGTTGAAAGCTCTCCTGGGTTAATGTGTGCTGGCAGCATGGATTTTGTGACATGCCAGTAGCATGCAGTGTTCAACCACAACTTCTAAAATTGCTATGGGTAAAGGACCAGGAAACTGCTGATTAAAAATTTATTTTGACTGATTTCTTTTTAGCTTTCAGAGCAGGAATTCCTTACAGGCTATGAATCCTAAATCTACCCCACTTGGAGCATTGGATTTGTGGTTGTAGAGACTGGGTTTTAGCCACTTTTATAACTGATGTATTATCAAGTCATACAGATGCTGCACTGTTAAACTGTGATGTAGTGGGTGTCTGTCATTTTTCTATGGCAGAGCAGCGTGCAAACCACCTTTCTATTTGGGGAAACCCACACTGTGTGCATCTTAGGACCCTCTCTCGCATCATGGAGCAGAAGAGTGCCAGATACTCAGTCACCTAACTCCTGACATCTAGGCTCAGATGGGTGACCCATCTTGGCTATTCAGTTGTTCCTGTTTAGAACCCTGAATCTTGCTCTGTTGTTGTAAAGACAAAGAGAAAAGTTCAACTTTATCCTAGTTGTCTCCAGAATCAGGTAGTGTCTAGCAGTTGAGGTGGAACCAGTGGTGTTCCCTCGTAATTCTGCAGCACTTGAAATCTGTACAATCAATCCTATTCAGCTTCCATTGGCCAGAGTTGGTTTGTAAATAGTCAAGAACTCTGACTAATGTACATGAAGACCAAAAAAAAAAAAAAAAATCAGAAAGTCCTCCTTGGTCATTTCCCCTTCTAGATCTGAAAAGATTGTCATGTCATTTGAAGTTTTCAGACATTGTCAGCTAATGGTCTCTCTTCAATTTATCTCATCCATGGGAGCTGAATATATTGGCCTTGGAGTCTGGAGTTATGGGTGACTGATTCTTGATTATGGTTGGGAATAGTCGGCAGGCTCATCATGTATGCATAAAGACAGCAGATCACTGACACTTCAAGTATTTTGTTTCTTCCTCATCCGAACTTTGTCCAATACCGCTAGTAAAGAGGAAAAGATGACATGTCAAATAATTTCCTTTTGCATATACAACTAATATTCTGGTGGGAATGTTCAAGAAGATGTTGGGCAGAGAAAGGTAGAAAATTGACAGCTAATTT